TTTCACAATTATTGTCATCAGTGATATGTTATCTTATTTCCTGAGTTCTATTTTTATGCCACCTCATTTCTCTTTTTTCTATATTTTATTATATTGAATATTTTTTAAACCTTTTATTCTACTTTTATTACACTGCCTTTTGAAAAATTGTAGTTAAACCCATTTTCTTTAATTATCACCATCAAGGATGGAATAGTACCCACTGGCCCTCTGTAAATGAATAATTCAGCTTGTTTTTCTTCCTCGCTAGTCCTTTCCTAACTGTCGTTCACATGGTTATTACATCTTTTTACGCTGAATCTCGTCTTAATTAAGAATTAGTTTTGATATTTTTTGTAAGTTTTAAATCATAGTTACCACAGTTATCTAGATTTAACTTGTACTCATCGCTACCTCTTTTCTCTCTGTTAATCAGAGTATATACCTGAAAAGATTTTCTTCAGGAAAGAATGTAGAGAAAGAATTCAGAGTCACAACTGGTTGAAAATGATTTTCTGGTCTCTTTCTATATAACCAACATCTTGGCTATATTTAGAATTCGTGAGTGCAGTGTTTTTCCTTTAAAACTCTGTAAAAATTTCATCTTCTGATGCTTATTTTATGGAGAGGCCATTTTGACTCTTGTTTTGTAGGCAACTTATTTTTTCTGTCTGGCTGTTTGAGGGATGTTTTCATTTCCCTTGAATTTTGAAAGTTCAGAAGGATATGTATAGATGTCATTTATTTATTCATTTGGTTTTATTTATTTATTTAAATTTTTATTTTATTTTTTGCTGAGAAAGATTCGCCCTGAGCTAACATCTGTGCCAATCTTCCTCTGTTTTGTATGTGGGTCGCCACCACAGCATGGCCAACAAGTGGTGTAGGTCCACGCCCCGAATCTGAACCCTCGAACCCAAGCCGCCAAAGTGGAGCATGCCAAACTTAACCACTTTGCCACGGGGCTGACCTCAATTTCGTTTATGTTTTTTAAGAACTGAATTGAGATATAATTCACATACCATCCAACCCACACATTTAAAATGTACCATTCAATGGTTTGTAGTACATTCACAGAGTTATGCAATCATTTCCACAATACATTTTAGAACATTTTCATCATCTCAAAAGAAAACTTGAACCCTTTAGCCTTCACCCCCATCCCCCTCCCTCCGTCTTGCAGCTCTAAGCATCCACTAGTCTATTTTCTCTCCCTATAGATTTGCCTATTGTGTATATTTCATGTAAATGGAATTATACAATATGCTGCCCTTGTGACTGGCTTCTTTCATTTAGCATAATAATTTCAGAGATTCAACCATATTGTAGCATGTATCAGCATTTCATTTCTTCTTATTGCTGAATAATATTCCATTGTATAAATATACCACATTTTACTTATCCATGCAGCAATTGATGGACATTGGGTTGTTTCTACATATTGGCTATTAAGAATAATTCTGTTGTGAACATTTGTGTACAAGTTTTTGTTTGAACACCTGTTTTCATTTCTCTTGGGTATGTATCTGGTAGTGGAGTTGCTGGCTCATATGGTGACTTTCTGTTTAGCCTGTTGAGGAACTGCCAGACTGTTTTACAAAGTGGTGGCACCATTTTACATGCCCACCAGCAGTGTGTGAGGGTTCCAATGTCTCTCCATCTCCAACAACACTCATTATTCTCCATCTTTTTTACTATAGCTATCCTAGTGGGCGTGCAGTGGTATCTCATTGTGGTTTTGATTTGCGCTTTCCTGACGACAGTCAATGTTGAGCATCTTTTCTTGTGCCTGTTGGTCATTAGTGTATCTTCTTTGGATAAGTATCTATTCCTATCCTTTGCTCATTTTAAAATTGCATTGTCTTTTTATTATTGAGTTGTAAGTGTTCCTTATATATTCTACATATAAGTCTCTTATCAGCTATTTGATTTGCAAAAATTTTCTCCCATTCCATAGGTTGTCTTTTCACTTTCTTGGTGCCATCCTTTGAATCACAATAGTTAAAACAATTTTTTTTTTTGAGGACGACCAGCCCTGAGCTAACATCTGCCACCAATCCTCCTCTTTTTGCTGAGGAAAACTGGCCCTGAGCTAACATCCGTGCCCATCTTCCTCTACTTTCTATGTGGGACATATATAAAGTGGGCAAGCCTACCATAGCATGGCTTGCTAGGTAGTGCCGTGTCTGCACCTGGGATCCAAACCAGTGAACCCTGGGCCGCTGAAGTGGAACGTGCGAACTTAATCACTGCACTACCAGGCCAGCTCCCCACCTCCTTTTTTTTTTTTTTTAAGATTTTATTATTCCTTTTTCTCCCAAAGCCCCTCAGCACATAGTTGTGTATTTTTAATTGTGGGTCCTTCTGGTTGTGGCATGTGGGACGCCACCTCAGCATGGCTTGATGAGCAGTGCCATGTCCACGCCAAGGATCCGAACTGGTGAAACCTTGGACCACCAAAGCAGAGCACGTGAACTTAACCACTCAGCCATGGGGCTGGCCCCTGGTTTTAAATTTTTGATGTCCAATTTATTTATTTCTTTTGTTGCTTGTTCTTTTGGTGTCATATTTAAGAAACCATTGCCTAATCCAAGGTCATGAGTATTTATGCCTGTTTTCTTCTAAGAGTTTTATAGTTAACTTTTATAGTTAGGTCTTTGATCCATTTCGAGTTAATTTTGTATACTGTGTGAAGTAGTGGTCCAACTGCACTTTTCTTTGCATCTGGATAATCAGTTGTTCCAGCACCATTTGTTGAAAAAAGCTGTTCTTTCCTGTTGAAGTGTCTTGGCATCCTTGTCAAAAATTTATTGACTATAAATGTAAGGCTTTATTTCTGAATTCTCAGTTCTATTCCTGAGAGCTTATATGTCTATCTTTATGCCAGTACCTTATTGTCTTGATTACTCTAGCTTTGTAGTAAGGCTTGAAATCAGAAATAATGATTCCTCCAAATTTGTTCTTCTTTTTCAAAATTATTTTGGCTATTCTGGGTCTCCTTAATTTAAAATAAATTTTAGACTCAGCTTATTAATTTCTGCAAAAAAGCTAGCTGAGATTTTTATAGGGATTGCATTGAATCTTTAGATCAATTTGGGGAATATTATCATCTTAACAATATTGAGTCTTACAATCCATGAACATGCATGTCTTTCCATTTGTTTAGGTCTTGTTAATTTCTTTCAGCAACATTTTATACTTTTCAGAGTTTGTTTTGTGCTGCTTTTGTTAATTTTATCCTGTTTAATCCTTTTTTTATGCTATCTTAACGGGAATTTTCCCAGTTTCATTTTTGGTTTGTTCATTGCTGTTATATAGAATATGATTGATTTATGTATATTTACCTTGTATCCTGCAAAGTTGCTGAATTCCTTTATTAGTTCCAATCTTTTTTATTAGATCCCTTAGGGTTTTTTTATATACAAGGTCCTGTCATCTGCAAATAGAGATAGTTTTACTTCTTCCTTTCTAATCTGGACTCTTTTAATTTCATTTTCTTGCATAATTGCCCTGGCTAGCACCAGAGCAATGTTGACTATAAGTGCTGAGAGCAGACATCCTGATCTTAGGAATGGGAGGAAAACATTCAGTCTTTCACCATTAAGTATGATGTTAGCTGTGGGGTTTTGTAGATGCTCTTAATCAGGCTGAAGATATTTCCTTCTATTCCTAGTTCGTTGAGTGCTTTTTTGTTTATCATGAAGGGCTGTTGAATTTTGTTGAATGCTTTTTCTGCATCTATGAAATGATCGTGTAGTCTTTGTCCTTTCTTCTATTAATATGGTGTATTATATCAATTGAATTTCGGATACCATTTATTTTTACCTTTTAATTCAACTTCTCATATCCTTGTTCTTTAGAGTTCAGAGGACCCTGGAGGAAACCATTAAATGACGTATGCAATAGATGTGATGCAGGGCCTGGAAGTTGATGGTAGTCTTCTATGAAAATTTCAATTTCCAGAACTTTATATCTCATCAAAAGTCCTGGTGATGGCTATCTTGGATTTTTTTGTTTGGTGGTGGTGAATGGTGTGGATGTTGAACAAATTTTTAAGTGTGCTTCTTTTGTTAATTTTATCCTAATGTTACCCAACTGTATAAATTCATAACATTATTTTGATAGCATGAAAGATACAGTTTCCTATTGTAGGCACTATTTTTGGAGATGGAGAATTTTAACTATATTATTTATATGCTTTTTGGGAATGGTAACCCTTCTATGCATAATAAAGTGTGTAGCTAGTATTTTTAGCAATTGTACCCATTATCAATGTATTTTATCTTTGAAAATATGTAGATCCCCCCTGTTTCTTCCAACATAACATGATGTGTTTCATATTATATATTTCCATCATGTCCCTATTTTATAATGTATGTTCACATTAATTGCAGTTTCCTTCCCTTAGACACATTTTTCTTTTTCGTGTGAGTTCCTTCATTTGGTTGCATTGTCATTTTCGTTGATGATGCATCTGCTAATTAATTTTTCTTCTTTGAATGCCTACCCTTTTTGTTCTTGATTTTACAGTTCAGCTCTATTTTGTATGTTAGCTTTATTTGTTGGTATTTCTTTCTAGCTTCTATTGGCCTATGACCTTCTATGACTTGTTTGTAATATTTATATGTTTATGAAATTGACAGTCCATCCTCTGCCATCAGTGATGATTAACATTAAATGTTTCTTTAAAGTGATTTAGAAAATAGTTATTTCTAGTTATTTCTTGTGGTTAATATATACATTAGCTTCCTAAATTCATAGCAAGGTCATGATTATCAGAAGGTATCACTTATAGGCATATAAAAGTTTTATTTATTTTTTATTCTGGTAAAATATGAATAACACAAAATTTACCATTTTAACCTTTATTAAGGGTACAGTGCTGTGGCGTTAAGTACATTCACGTGGGTCTGCAACTTTAAAGTTTTTAAAGAGAAAATAATAGCCATTTCTTAATCCTTCAGATTTTCCTTTCTCCTTTAGTACTTCGTTTCTGTTGATCAACTTTCCTTTTCTTTTAGATGCTGAGGAGTTCCTAGCAGAAGGTTTGCGGAATGAGAACCTCAGTGCTGGTGCAAAGGACCACAGGGACCATATTCTACGGGGCTTTCAGCAAGTCAGAACTAGGTTTGTATGAACTGGTTCCATCATTCTTCTTCATAAGCTTTAAAACAATTTATAATCAGTAAAATCTACTTTAATATTGTATAAATTAACAAGGTAAGACATGCCTATCTTAGCTCTTTATCCTTGGTAAAGGCTTAGTAAATATTTACCGAATTGGATTGGAGGTAGATGGGCATACCTAGTGTAGATAGTTTACCAAAATAGAAATCTTTTGATAAGTGTGTATCTTAAGATAATTATTCTCCTTTTAGCTTCGGATTGTTATGTTGGTCTTTATTGAACACTTTTGCAAAATGTGTGAAAGGCTAAACATTTATGCTTGTCCACATTACTAAAGGGAAGATGTTAGGCAGTATGAGATCATTAATTTTCGTTATGATTTTTGATCCTGATTTCACTTCCACATCTCCTTCCCTGATGGGAAACTTCAACCAGACTTATCCAGTTGATTCTTTGACTATATTGGCATGTCTTAGTCTCAGACTGGGTTGGAATATCATGCTCATTCTGTTTCTTTAATAAAGGCCCTGACCTAATTTGTGCCTTCCAGAATGTGAACATCTGACAGATGCACACACTGCTTGGGAGAGGAAGAAATAAAAATTTTCCTTTGCAATGTCTTTCGCCACCACCTCTTGCTTGAAATGTGGTAACTGAACAAGAGTTGGCGATAAGGAGTGTTACTTTAAGCCTTTTCGAACCTAGTGGCAATGTGATTCAGAATGTTTGAACTGAGTCCTCTTAGAAAAGGGAGAGCATCTGCAGGTTTATGACTGGGATTAATTTGTGTGGCTGACCGATCTTAGCATCTACTTTAGAAACCTCACTGAAACTCCTTAGAAGCAAGGAATTTTTATCCTTTGGAAGGGCACAGCCAGAATCTGTTCCCTCCAGGAATGTGAGAGAACCTCACAAGATGCCCTGCTGGATCTTAATCGATCTTTCCTGCTGGCTAATTAAGCATCACTTTTACTCAGCAACTGGGGACTGTGTAATTATCAGCCTGGGTTGCCCTGAATAATTGAAACAAACAGAATGCAGAAGATAGGGGCTTTTTGCAAAAGTTAGAGTATCTATAAATTTTTGGTAGGCTGGAAGAATGTTACAACAAACTTCGCCATGATATTACTTTATTAGTGGATAAATTTAGGCTTAGTTGTGTACCTGAAGGCTTAGTTAGTAACCCATAGAATTTTTTATTTTTTATAATACAAAGTTAACCTTTGTATTATAGGATTATTATAAGGATGGCATGAGGAATAAAGGGAGAATTGTTTTAAATTGTATTACAGGGAGAAGGATGCCCAAAATATAATTGTATATATGGTGGTACTATTAGTATAAATCTGTGATTAGGAATGAAAAACAATTTTACTGCTTGTGTAGGGACAAATATAGAATGCGTAGAAATTTTCCTCTCCGTGTATTTCTACCACATCATTTGGAAAGGCCTAAATTTCAATCTGAAAGTGGTTAAAAAAAAAAAGTCATCTTGTGGTGACTCGTTATTAGTTGCATATTACTTCTCAGTTCTCTTTTTAAATGCATGCACACACACACTCACACGCACACACACCCAGGCACCCACATATAGAAGCTGTGTTTGTCATGGGATAGAGAAGGTTCCTTGTTCTCAAAGAACTTGCTGTGTGGTTTGTGGGATAGACATTCAGGAAATAATCAGCAGGAGCTTTAGGAAACATCTGCATTGTTGATGGGAGCTTTCTGTTCATTGATTTGTTGCAAGAAAGATGACACTTTATTTAGAATTGCATAATTATCAGATCATGGAGGAAATGAGGAGCCAGAAATTAGATACCGTACAAGAAAATGGAAAAATGAGGCTTTCCTCTGGCAAGCTGTTTGAAATCGCCTTACATCCACTCATTCAATCATCGTCCTGTTAATGTAACCCTTGTTTCCCTGAATGCTCTTCTGCAGCCATATTGCCTCTATAGCCTCATTTATGGCCGGTCAATTTCAGGCACTTGTTTGTATTGATACCAATGTTTTGAAAGCGCTGAAAGCTTGTGCAACGCCAGCCACATTTACTTTTGTTGTGTGGCAGTTGTATCTCCCCCAAAAACTGGGTGTGAAAAGAAATTTGGACATCATCAAACTTGAGAGTTAAATGCATATGGCAAGTTGCCGAGTAACATGAAAAGAAGTATTGAAAGTCATTTAAAAAGTTGTGTTTTTTTTTTTGCTTTTTCTCCCCAAATCCCCCCGGTACCTAGTTGTGTATTTTGTTTGTGGGTCCTTCTAGTTGTGGCATGTTAAAAAGTTTTATCTTTAGTCATATTATAGCTATAATATTTTAGGAGCTTGGTAAATTTGGGGGGTAGGAACCTCTCTAAAACTATAATTTGGCACATCAAAGGCTTATTTGGAAGGTAGGTAAGAAATCTCTAGCAGGGTAATCTGGGAAAGCCACTAGATAAATATAAATACTATTTATATATTTTCCCCCCACTGCTTTCCACTCTGTCTTTGTTGTGTCCTTGCTTTAGTTCCTTTGATTTTTTCCTCAAGTTGTGCTGCTCAAGAATGTAAAGGGTGGAGAGAGGTGAATGTAGCACTGCCTTTGAGTCTGGGTGAACTCTGGGAGCTTGGCCCGAATTTTTACGGTGGCTGAGAATTCAGTGGTGTTTGCCACAGCTGTGGGCTTGCTATGAATTAAGCATCTGACTCCATCACAGCTGTTATAATGAGCCACTTGTCACCTTTCTGTGGCCTGGACTGATTGACCCCAGGAAATGAGAGCTGAGTCAAGAGTCATGGGTGTCCTCCATGTGCTCATCTGTTTCTCAGTACAGGTAGCTGAGCTATTCTCTCTCCTCCCAGACTTACCACCAAAAAATCGTATGTATATCTCCATCTATATACTAGTTTTTTTTTTGGCTTAAAAGCGTTACCAATGAAGCATAATGTTCTCCATGTAAGACGAAATAAAAAACGGATGGCAATTTCTGCGATTCCAAGGAAATGAAGCCCTGTTGTGGTATTCGATGTCCTGAGCTGTGATGTTCATTGCTCGTCTTCAGACTGCCTCCTCATTTAAACCTTCTCTTGAAAAACTAAGAGCTCTCACATTCCGAGTGCAAGTTTTCATGGAGCTCTGTAGAGGACAGTTGTGAAGAAAGCCAGGCAGAGGCCCCTCCTGCTTTGTTACACTGCAGCGGTCACTGCAGGATCAGCGCCAGATGTGAGACACCTGGAAGGAAGCAGACACGATCTACACTCCGACGCTTGATGGCGTTCTGATGCATTTGGAGAAACAGTCAGGAATTCCTTAAAAGTTTGATTCAGGGGAGGCCATATGACAGCAAGAATACATTGAGAATGGGTGAAGGGATGAAGAAAATAGAGTATTGTCATTACTGAGGTACGGACTTGTTCTCTCTACATGGCCCGTTTTGGAACAGCTGGTCATTTACGCTCACTGTTGGAAGTGAAGGCCAGAGCCAATGGAAACAAACTCGGAGTATTATTTCCTTCTGTGAAACTTAAAGGAGTTCCAAAAAGAGACAGGTAGATTGATAGCGTATTGAAATGGAAAGAAATAAAGAAATAACTTTGTGTAACAGGATTACAGCATAAACCCCACAAAACCCAGGACATTTAAATTATTGGCTGAAAGAGTATCTTGAACATGTCTCATTGTGGGTGGCTAGCACATGGCTCTGCGTGAAATATGATACATTAATACAAATATCATAAAAATATTTCCAGTTTTCTTTGGGAACTTCAAGTTTTCTTTTCAGCTTAACATGGATTTAGCCTTAAGACAGGATTTAGTTTGAGAATATATCATTCTGATGTCTCTGTATTCTAGGAAGAAAGACAAGGAGTTGTCTGACACAACTCTTGGGAGCAAGAGTTTCAAAGTAGTTTACTGTGAATATCATTGCCATTAATTACATAGAGTTTTACTTTTCCTAAGTGCAGGTTATTGGGCTTTAAAACTCCAAAGCAAAACACACTCAAATGAATGAGCTTATCAAGAGAACCAATGTGTAATGTGCTGTTCGTTCATTTGTGTCACTCGCAAGTTTAGATCTTTGCTCATAACATCTCTTTCTGTTGTTCATTTTGCTACTTACACTGGAGTTTCAGTGCCAATGCAGGAAAAAAAAGAGTAGGCGGTACTTGTACAATCCATCTAAGTTTAAAGAGCTCTGCAAAGGCTCCAAAGTCATAGCAATAGTTTGACCACATCTCAAAGGTTAAAAATTCATTTCTTCCTTTTCCGGTGCTGTCTATGCTTCCCTTCCTTAAACCAAGAAAGAAAACAAAAACCCACAACTACTTCAGGGCTCTCACCTGATCAGTTTTATGCCCAAATTCCTGGACTAGTTTTCTATTATTCAGTGAGCGTATGTTGAGATTTCACAATTGTGTTAAAGATCTTTGGAGGTATACTTATCTGGGAGTGAGGGGTTATATTTCTTGCTCTTTTAGTCTGAAACGTTCTACAGGTGAGACCGATGTAATGTTACCTGCTGTGCGTCTCTTGGCTTAACCCGTACAGGAAGATCATCTTATTATGTGTTCTTTCTTAGCAAGTCTCTGGTCCTTTCAAAACAGCCTTGAAATGTATAGTTCTCCTTTTAATTTTGTGATGATGATGACTTTATTTATTCTTCCACTTTTGAGGGTATCTTGGATTTAGTACCAGCTTCAAGATTAAATTGATCCGTTTTTTTTCCTTTACGTTGAGCTGTTATGGTGGTGTCAGTTGGCCGAAGCTTCTCCCTTTGGGCATCCCATAAAATAAATACTTTATATAAGTCACTCCCATAAATAGTAATAGGTAGGTTTTAAAAAAAAAAAGCTTGGATGAATAAACTTGTTCCTATCAAAACTTTTTATTAAAAATTCCCAGTACTGAGCTGTTTGAACAGAATAACATGTTCTATCAAGAGTGAAAGGAATTTTGAAATGTGACCTAGGAGGCAGGCAGGTAACTGAGCTTGCACCCTTCAGGCTGGACTAACCCA